CTGCAACTGCAAGGTTCTAGAATCATCAAAATGATAAGAAATTTGGCCATAGGGTTAATCAGAATAATATCATTGCAATTTTCTATCAAACTACTGTGCCCATACCAGAGCTCAAGATTAACTCTAAGTGTCAATTATAAATTGATAACTTAGTTGGTTAATTTGTTGCTATTCTCGCTAATTCCTAAAATACAAAAGTAATAGTGGAAGGAATTTGGTTGTAACATCTCTTCTAAATTCAAACGTGAAGTTAAACTGTATATTTGACATGAAAACAATACATAAATGTATAATTGTACAATATTTAATATTTTGCCTGTTATATTTGCCAACTTTATTTTTGTTTTATGTACCGTAACTCACTTTTGTGACTGTTCGTTTTTTGTGCTTTTTTTATAAAAATATCCAAAATGTATATTATTGTACTGGAGATTAGCCTCGATAGGCCCCTGGAATTTGCTGGTCCTCCTCATGTTTTTTTTAAAATATCTATTTAGCTGTTCTGTGTTCGTGTAATTTGTCCACAGTTTTTTACTTAATATTATTGTTTGTTACTTTGCATTTTTGTTTATATATGTCTGAACATGTATGTTTATATATTTTTTTAATGAACCGCAAGTGGAAATAAACTACACATGAAACTTGATCCTTTAATAAATTGGTGCACATTCATACGTCCAGGTATTGAGCAATTTCTATGCAGAAATCTCCACAGTCAATATTGTTTGTTACATGCAGAAATAACAGAATAGATATACTCGTTTGGTTTTGAATACAGATTATTCAACTTCACAATGTTCTTTATTAACTACCCTCAATTGGCAATCTGTTGAACAAAGAATTGAATATGAAAAATGTATTTTAGTCTATAAGATTTGGAATGATTTTGCACCAAATTACCTGGAACCATTGTCTGTTATGCGACTCATTGTTTATAATACTCGCCATACCACCCAAAACCGTCTATAAATACCATGCCCTAAAACAGAATACAAAACTTGATCCGATTTTCATTCACCGGAAATTCTTTATTTAATAAGTTGCCATCGTCCGTCCAAAATTGCAAGTCACTAAACAATTTCAAGAAACAATGTAAACAGTTCTCTAACATGCTTTAACAACAAACAAAAACAACGAGACTCTGGCTACTAGGGGGGTCTCGCCTTGCATCCCACGTGCGCTCCATGTATAGTTTATTCAAATGTATTGATGTTTTAATTCATGTTTTATTCTTATGTTTTTTTTTGTATAACGTGGAGGGCTCCGTTGGAAAGCAGTATCATTTAACTGAATCGGACTACCCTCCACTGTTTTATCAGTTGTAATACTTAAAACATGAATAAATAAATAAATAAATAACTTTATTATTGTTTCTGTGAACTTTTTATGATATTTAAATCATTTTTTTTGCAGACATAAATTGTAATGGAGCATCAGACTTAATGCACATAATATAATTGTATTTTGTTTTGAGCAGCATTTCATGCAATTGTAGATGAAGGAACTTGTTTGCTTGACTAGAGCTTCATTAATCAGTATTCCTTTTCATACAATAAAATAATTTCCCTAAAGATCTAAGATTGCAAGATGTATTTGATATAATCATGAATGAGTAGCAATGTACTTACATACCTCACACAGTCCACATTATTTCTGATACACCATCTATATAGTTTACACTTGTTGCTTTGTCCCGTACTTTGCCACGTTCGCGTGAGAGAGATGAAAATGGGAAGAGAAATAGGGGGAGGGAGAGAGAAAGGGAAAGAAATGGGAGATGAGAGGGAGGAGTAATTGAAAGAAAGATAAAGGGGAGAAGAGGAAGAGGAGTGAAAGAGAATAAGAGAGGGACAAGTGATAGAACGAAAGAGGGGGAGAGAGAAAGCGAATAGAAAGGGGGAAGGGGGAATTGAGAAGAAGGGTTGAGTGAGAGAGGGAGGAGGAAAGCGATACAGAAAGAGGAGAGAAAGGGGGAGGGGTTGAAGAGTCGGGGAATAGTCATAAGGATGGAGATGGCTTTTTGTTGGTGACTAAATAGAGTAGCAGAATCAAAAGATTAATTAAATTTTTTGCTTACTTGAGAGACATTAAGGGGTGAATATGGGGAGAGAGAGAGAGAGTAGTGAAAAAGGAGAGGGAGGGTAGAGAGGGGGTTGACGAGTGAGGAAATACTCATGATGAGGAACGATATGGCTAATTGTTTGTGACTAAATAGGGCGGCAGCATCAAAAGAATATTTTTTGTTCACTTGAGATAGATGAAAAGGGGGGAAATGGAGGAGGAAGGAAGGGGAGAAGATAGAACGGGGAGTGAGGAGTGAGGATCATAAGATTGCATAAGATGGCTAATTGTTTGTGACTGAATAGAGCGGTAGCATCCAAGCAGTCAGAAGAGAGAGAAAGAGAGAGAGAGGGGGATTTATTTATTTTTAAACAGGGAGATAGAGAGCAAGAGGAAAATGGTGATTTCTAAATATCTAGAAATAGAGTTCAGTGAGTGAGACAGGGGAAGACAATGAAAGAGACAGAGGGCTAGAACTCTAATGGAAATATGTACTTCAAAAAAATAAAATAGTTTAATCCTCAAGTCAAAATCATTTTGTCTCATAGGCAATTACCGACCACAAGTCTAAAAACTCTCTTAGATCACTTGTCTGTACTAGTTAATTTTTTCCTCAATCTCACATTAGATACAATAAACAGAAGGAGCAAAAACGATTACTTCTTGTTATTATTATTATTTTATTTATTCAGTGATCGTATTAATCATGGGTTACTGCAAGACCTGCTGTCTTTCATTTATTTTTCAATACAAGATACACAATTTTACTTCAAAAATCTTGAAAAAAATATACACTAAGCAAGAGAATGTGTTATATTTGTTCTATTCTATTTTGAAAGATATAATCAGGCTTTTAGTAAACATTTATATTGCTTATCACATTTCCTTTGATAATTTTGCCGCATCCATCGATCTGTACGAAAAAATATCGTAGAAATCAGTGATCGCTCACAAAACAATGACCATATTCATATTTCACCCCAAGCTGGCGCTCTTGCATTAAAGACAGAGATCAGCTGAATACAAAAATAAGATGAAACAGGCACTAGGGGTATGATAGATTTTTTAACAGGGTATACACTTCTCTAAATGTCTGAAGAGAAGAAAATGAATTGAAAAATTTCGAATATAAAGGGGTTTCTAATTATTTTTGTTCAAGATGTTGACAAACATATTAAACATTTGGGGTTGTTTATTTACAGCCAAAACGTCTGTACAAGCAAAACAGAGTTTCCCTATCCCTGGAGATCCAAGCCTGTAATTAATGAAAGCTTTTTTTTCTTCTTCTTTTATTCATATTTTTCATTGGAAGCCAAAAAGAGAAACATAAAGCACAAGGATAACAAATATATAATTATGTACATAATTTATATATAATGGTTAAAGTCCAGTCGTGATAAATTCCATTAATGGGAGAAATCAATTACACTTCGCATATCTGAACACACTGTTCTTTGTTTAGTTGGCGAATATAATAACCAAATAAGTCATTGAATACACGCATTGAATCATAATAATTGATCTGAACCCTCGTACCATTATTCTTTTGACATGAATATTATTTTGGTATGGTATTTACTTATGGTAGTATTAACTAGTTTATATATAATATGTACATACATACATACATAATGCGAAAGGAAATGAAACAATATGAGATGATAATGGTTGGGTAGCTAAAATCAAAGTTTCCCCTCCTCCGTTTTGAAATATATACATGTATTGCATCCCGAATAGAGCGATCCATTCGTATTAATTTTTAAGTTATCATTATTTTGTTATGTTCAGATATATGTATGTATGTACATATTTTGTATACAGAAAATAAAACCAACCAAACCAAACCAAACATAATATACACATGGATATATATTTATTTATATACATGTTGATATACAGTATGTATTTTGTAGAAATAACTGCTCGTATTCCGAAGTAGCTAAATAACATAATATACAAATGTGCTGCGTAGACAGGTCGAAATTTACAAATTTACAATATTTTATATCATATACCGTGCAGTTACAAAAATATAGTGTCAAAATTCTGTATGTCTTGAATTGTATTTCCATATAATATCTTAGAATACATAACATCAATAACATCGGTTACAATAACATACAAATTAACCATTTACATTCAATACTAATTAGTAAATAGTTGAGCCTACTGTGCATTTACTTATGGTACTCTGCTGGTAGTATGAGACTGCATTTTTTATTTTGTACTTAAATGATTTTTAATACATAATGGAAGATCCAAGGGGTCATCCCCATCTACTTCTGCTGCTTGACATTTATATTATCAATACTACAACAATTTGAAATCAAATAGTTTGTATAAAATTAAAGACTCTTCAGTTATCATCTATTGTGATGAGGAAACACTATAGTCACCCTCGAAAAGACTTTCGAAATCAATCAATCTATTACAATTTCAATGGTTTTACTCATTATCTTTGACATTTTCAAACATCAGAATGACGGATCATACGTGATCCGAACACATCTATGGGGAAATGCAAGAGGGTGTTGAAATCGACCTTGATTTGATTTCTTGAAAGTGTTTACGATCGTGCTCATAGGTCGGTTTTAAATTAATGAACGTAGGATGGGATTTTAAGGTTCTAACGCCCCAGATCAATATGTCTTGGAGGCTGTTCACACCGGCAGAGATAGCGCGCGCTAGACCGCGCTATTTCTACGGTTTGGAAGGTACAACGTCGTTTCGGTCTGCCCAACAGCGAGCCACGGCGAGCCAAAACGGCGTGCCACTGGAGCACCTCTTGGGGGTGGTCCACGAGAGATAGCGCGGTCTAGCGCGCGCTAGAAAAAAAGGGGTGCTACGATAGACCCCGCTATCTCATTGCGGTGTGAACAGCCTCTCAAGTCTAGAGCAAGTACAACTATCCATATAGGCCTACACACCAGCCACCCCCCCCCCCCCCCGATCTTGGGAGGATCGCCTACACATGTTTATCACTTTCGAGATATGCCATGTACTAAATGCACTGCAGTGGCATCTGTACCGAAAGACCGCCCAAGGGAGATAGCCCCCTCCTACACACACACACACACACACACACACACACACGCACACGCACGCACACACACACACACACACGCACACACACACACAAAGCAGTCCTTAAATGAAGGTATTGATTGTGCACAGGTTTCAATGAAAAGCATCGTTTCGACTGAAACAAAAAGTGGCCTTGGTAGACGGGTGAGTTTTTTTCTTCTATATAGGTTGTCGCAAAAGCAAGTTTGAATGTACTTCTTTATCAAACACAGAATCCTTCAATTCCTGAAAACATCAGATAGGACGTTATAAAAATAGATAAAGTTTCCTACATACATGCAGTTACTATCTAAAAGTCTGATCAGAATCGCTCAACGCCTCATTGTGACAACCACTAACTCAAAATACATCTAGGGAAAGTATAAACGAATTGAGTCACTCTATCGTGGATAAGACTTTAATATGCCTTCATGTTTGAACTAGAGGAATTCTCACGAGACTGCACACTACAATGGACAAACCTACGTTGTAAACAGCACCTTGGTCCAGCCGTTGTTCAGTTGAATGGATTTCTTATGTTTCGCACCCATTTTATCGAAAATAAAAGTGAAGATTTCTTCTTTCTTGGCAGGTTGTCGATGATTCACCTTCGTCACATCAAGCAACCCGACTAACCTGCCCTCCTTGCTCATTATGTCATCCTTCAATATTTTAGGCTCTGAACAAATCTCAGAAATTTTCCAGTCTGTAAAGAACCCACCTGCCTTGGCTCTGTTGGCATATACAACGCAGTGGTCATTGTTATGGTGAAAGAGGTGAAGAATCAAAGGCTTACCGCTGGTCCATCCATGCATCAACGAAACGCTCTCAATGTGGTGTACAAGCATTTGAAGTCCAAAGTACTCCCCCTCCTTTTTCAGGAGGTCAAATTCTTTGGGTGTCATATCCATGAAGATGCCACCGTCTCGAAGGTAACCCAGGACAAATCGGAACATGCTCCCATCCCTGTCAACAAGGAAATTTCCAAGTGCATCTCTAGGAACCGAAATCTGCCCACTCAGCATCTTGTCGAAGAACGAGCCCTGCTCTTTCGATGCCTCTCCAATTGTCATCATGTAGAGCTTGCCACCAACCCTCAGTCCGATCGCTCCTCGGGTCTGCTCTTGAATCGCTTTCTGGAGTTCCCCAAGCTTGAAGAACTCAGCTTCGCACCTGAGCAGATCGTACTCGCGGAATCCGTCGGGAAGCACGAGTCTTCCACTTCTCAAGAAATTAAGTACATGCCGAAATATCTCGCCGTCCCGATCAACAAGGTAGTGCCCTTCTTCGTTTCTGATAGATGGATCATTGACGTCAATCAAACGTTCCAGAGTTGATCTCTTTGTCTGATACAGCTTGCCACCAACATTCAAAGTGAGAGAAGAAGCCATTTTCACCGAGGATGTTGCCGGAATCGCTTTCTGGAGTTCCCCAAGCTTGAAGAACTTAGCTTCGCACCTGAGCAGATCGTACTCGCGGAATCCGTCGGGAAGCACTAGTCTTCCACTTCTCAAGAAATTAAGTACATGCCGAAATATCTCGCCGTCCCGATCAAGAAGGTAGTGCCCTTCTTCGTTTCTGATAGATGGATCATTGACGTCAATCAGACGTTCCAGAGTTGATCTCTTTGTCTGATACAGTTTGCCACCAACATTCAAAATGACAGAAGAAGCCATTTTCACCAAGGATGTTGCGGGAATCGCTTTCTGGAGTTCCCCAAGCTTGAAGAACTTAGCTTCGCACCTTAGCAGTTCGTACTCGCGGAATCCGTCGGGAAGCACGAGCCTTCCATCTCTCAAGAAATTAAGTACATGCCGAAATATCTCGCCGTCCCGATCAACAATATAGTGCCCTTCTTCGTTTCTGATAGATGGATCATAATGATTGTCGTTTAGCAAGCTTGTGAAATAGCTGTCAGGATAACGTTCCAGAGTTGACCTCTCTGTCTGATATAGCTTGCCACCAACATTCAAAATGACAGAAGAAGCCATATTCATCAAAGATTTTGTGGGTTTCAAGTGTAAACTTTACTTAACGCAAAAATCCTGACAATGAAACCTTCTTCTTCCCAAAGTGGTGAATGTTATCACCAAGGAATGGGGTTAAAGCGGCCGAAACGTTAGTTTTATATGATTGTGTACGTGTACCAATTAGAGAAGCATACGCATGCTCATTGGATACTCTGGGAGAAACACGCCCACATTGAAACTGGTATTCCCATTGGGGAATCCCCGTGACGACATTGCATCATAAGCTGTGGGGATTCCCCGGTGATTAAAGCAGTAAGTTCAAGTTCAAGTTTTATTTCCACATGTGGTTCATAAAAACAAGTATACATACATGTTCAGACATAGGCGCCAGAAGTGGGGGGGGGGGGGGGGGGCAGGGGGGCACTTGCCCCCCCCCCCCAAACAAAAAAGTGGGGGCAAAACGCAATTTTTGCCCCCCCCAAAAAAAAAAACGCCCCCCCCCCTCCAAAAAAAGAAAAGAAATGCAGTAAAGGAGTAAAGATGGTTTGTATTTTAAACCCAAAAGAACATAACAATAAAAAACCGGAATTAAATCACATATAAAATTCCATTCAAAGAAAAGGAAAGTTAACAGGAATTCAATTTCCTAAACATTCCGCATGCCACCTATATTTATCAATAAAGGTTTTTATAATAGCGATACGCGCATATCGTGGAACTATTGTGAGCGGATGGGAAAGCGTGTGTGTTTTTTGTTATAGGGGTGAGAAGACATGAGCCCCTGAACACTGGCTTACTGGTGGGGGGGGGTATTTCTTATTCGATACCACTGATTTACAAATGTTGCTGAAATGACATGATTTTCCGGTATTTTATCTCAATTTTTTTTTGTCATATACCTTTTTATGCGTTTGTTGGAAAATTAGAAATTCCCTAATTTATAGTCGGGCGAAAAATATGCTTGTTTAGAAGCTTTTATGTCAGGGCCTGAAAAAACGGCTGGGCTCGGGGGCTCGAGCCCCCCTCACTTTAAAAAAAAGTATGTTACAGAGAAAAAGAAAGAAAGAGAGAGAAAAAAATTTAGAGACCTGCCAATGTCACAAATGAGGTATCAAAATATGCTCATCTGACCGTAATTAAATGCCTAAAACCCCAGAGCTTACGGGGGCTCCGGCCCCGGAACCCACAAAGAGCCCTAAGACGGTCCCCTGGATTCCCATATGACCGTAATTAAATACCTAAAACAACCGAGCTTCCAGGGGCTTTGCCCCTCGACCCCACCAAGTGCCCTAATACGGGCCCCTGGAATGCTCATCTGACCGTAATTAAATACCTAAAACCCCTGAGCTTCCGGGGGCTCTGGACCCCCCCCCCCCCCCACCACCAAGGGCCCTAAGGCGGGCCCATGGATGCTCATCTGACCGTAATTAAATAGCTGAAACCCCTTAGCTTCCGGACCACATCAATTGCCTTAAATAGGGCCCCTGGATGCTCATCTAACCGTAATTAATACCTAAAACCCTTGAGCTTCCGGGGGCTCTGCCCCCTGGACTCTCCGCCAATTAGTGACCTAACAGTGTCACAAATAAGGTATATAAATATGCTTATCTGACCGTAATGTAATGCCTAACAACCCTGAGCTTTCTGGGGCTCAGCCCCTTGACCCCTTGCCGGGCTTCCAAACGTTTTTGCTCATTACGCCACTGCCCCTGGAAGGTGAGCCCCCTGGAACGTTTGCCCCCCCCCCCCCCCCCCATCCCAAAACTGCTTCCGGCGCGCCTGTGTTCAGACGTATACAAAATGCAAAGTAATACAAAATTAACAAACAATAATATTAAGAGAAACAAATAGTGAACAAAATCTAAAGTCCATAAACACAGAACAACTAAATACATGTAGATATAAAAAATAAAAAAATATGTGAGGCTAATCCCCAGAACAATAATAGATATTTTGGATATTTTATTTATAAAAACAAACAAAAAACAAAAACAAACCAAAACCCACAAACAATAGCGACGTACAGTACACGATAAAACAAAATTAAGTTGGCAAATTAAACAGGCAAACAAAAAAATTATATTGTACCACTATAAATTTATGAATTGTTTTTATGTAAAATATACAGTTTAAATTTACGTTTAAAATTAGAAAGTGTCGGACTGGTCTTTATCTCTACTGGTATTGAATTCCAGGATTTTACACCAGTGTACGAAATTGTTGTTTGGGAGAAAGTATATTTATATAACGGCAATCTTAAGTGATTTGAATTTCTTGTACTATGGCTATGAATTGCACAATTTGAAGTGAAATAATTATTAAAACTATCTGGTAAAATGTTCTTAAAATAGGAGTACATAAAATTGCAACTTGCAAAGTACATTATTATTATACCATCTGTTCCAATTAGGCCATATTTTTGTATACTTACAATAACAACATGCTACCCTCTGTCTTTCATGCATTGTCCCCCCCCCCCCCCAAAAAAAAAAAATAATAATAATAATAATAATAATAATAATAAATAAATAAATAAATAAAAAAATTAAAAAAATAAAAAAAATAATAATAATAATAATAATAAATATTTTAAAAAAAATATATATATATCGTTAGTATCCAGCTAGATATTGCGGTTACTTTCATTTACCTCTTTTAACGGCCCTTCTCGCCCAAAATAAATGTAGCCATACAAGCCCCAAATCTCATGTTCCTTTGTACAAACCGTATTGTAAATTCATTGTATGCGTTTGTATCTTACGCGTCTTATTGTGTCATTCTTTGTTGTAAGTCTCTGTTTGCCTTTACATGTTACAAATTATTGATTTATAATTACATTATCACTCACATTTTTCCTTTTTTTTTTTTTAATCGGATACGTATTTATTACATAAGTTCGTGATTATTATCATTTGAGGGATCCACATTGGCTTCTCAGTGGATCCCTCAATTTCCACAGTTTTTTCCATTTAAAAAAGCATACATCATTTACAGCAAATGCTTACTTCGGTTAATGATTTGCCAAGTGCATTAAAATAATGTAAATTAATTGATTTGATTTTTTGATTTTTTTTTTTTGATTTTTTTTTTTTTGATTTTTTTTTGATTTTTTTTTTTTTTTTTTTTTGGGGGGGGGGGTCATGATTGATTTGTATCGATTGTTCTGTTGGAAATTTAAAACAAAAACTGAAACTGAAACTGATACACAAGAACGATTATGGGGATTCGAGAGTGACTTAGTTAGTTTCTCATGATGTAATGATCTGGAGATTCGGTTAATGTTGTTGGACCGTCTTGCGCCTACGACGATTGCTTTTTTTAAAAATAATAATAATTATTATTATTTTTTTTTTTTTTTTACTTCAAGCGTGGACCCAATACTATACCTAACCCCAACTATATCCCTAAACCTAGTCTAAAACTCGATTGCAGTCCTAATCCTAGCCCTAAACCTCAATCTAACCTAAACTCCGATTGCAACCCTGATCCTGACCCTGACCCCCCCCCCCCCCCCCCCCCCCCCCCCACTCGATGTTATTTAGGTTACGCATATGCGTGTTCCCTCCTTTTGAAAACACCCCCTAAGTCCGTTGTGTCAAGTCAATTTTGTGTATGTACTAGCCGGATTTTGGTGCGTGAAAAGTACCCCTTTACCGGACATTTTGGTAACACGCATGCGGTCATTCCGACCCCGGAGTGGGGGGCCGGGCCCTGACCCTAACCCTAAATTAACCTTGCACCCGTAACCCTTACCTTATATACACTTTTGACGAAGTAAAGCCCGGTAAAACACATCTTTTTTCGTAATGTAACCAAATCTAATGCATACGTCATGATTGTGAAGTGCCTTGATACGTATCATTAATCATCTATTACTCATAATTCTATTTATAGTCAGAAAGCGAACTACATACATTAGCTACTGCCAGGTACGACAAACATTATGGCTTGCTTACCTAACAACCTATAACTGGGGATTCCCATGCAATTGATTTCACAATTCAACCTTGATCTTAGAAAATATTGCAAAAGCTTGCCAATATTCTCCTTTGTCTGCTCAAAGAACTCCGTGTTTGCATTTCAAAGGTCCTACAATAATAATTATGCCTTGGTACAGTTACAAGGGTTGCGGATTTAGAGTGATGGTTAAGTTCTCATAAAGACGAAAGATGATTATTTATATTTATTTATATTTATTTATTCATACTTTGTATGCATTTGATATTTTTTATATGAATGTGTTTATTTTATAAATTTTGTATAAGTTGTGGAATTTTATGTAATATGATTCACCTTGATGGATAGTTTCTTCTTTTGGTTTGGAAGAAGACAATACATGATATATTCTATATTCTATTCTATATATTCTATTTTATTCTATTCTATATTCTAGTTATGGCCTATGGGCTTTCTCAATTCCTTTATTTGTTTAATCACTCATACCATTTTGACAGAATATCATGACACAAACATTCCCTGAAAAGGCTCGTTCTTCAATTACTATTATATATTGACGATATATGACGAGAAGTATCTGAATAGATTTGACCAAACATGTATCTGTAGTCCCATATAGCAAGTTTAGCGTCTTCCAAAAGAAACAGAGAAAGTGGCCTCTGTAGACAGGTGGTCTTAGTTTCTCAGCAGGATCTACAACACACATTTCTATTTCGAGAGAGACACATGAGAGAGAGAGAGAGAGAGAGAGAGAGAGTACATGGCCATTATCGTTATAGACAGGTGCACATTGCACTTGGCCTTTACAGGGAGGTGGCTACTATTTACAGATCATGATAGAGATATTAATTGGTATCAGGTGCGTACGCAGGGGGGGGGGGGGGGAGGTTGGGAGTTAAATCCCCCCCTTCATTTTTTTTAATATGTGTATTTAGGAGCGAACCCCCCCCCCCCCTTTGAGTTTATTTTATTTTTATTTTTTTGTTTATTTAAACAAAATTATGCTAATGGATGACCTAAAAGAGGTGACCTTACCCCCCCCCCCCCCCCCAAACGGAACGAAATGTCGATCGGTCAAATTTTCAATATTTTGGGACCAAAAAATAAATAAAATATGTCCTCTTCCCCCACCCCACCCCCCCCCCCCCCCCCCCCTCCCTTGAAAAAAATCCTGCGTAC